ACTCAAGTCTTCGATGCCGCCCCCCCCCCCCCCTTCGTTTTCCTCTTGACGACCACACCCTGAGAACAGCCCAACGCCGAGGACGTCGTCGCCGAGCACCCTCTCCCGGGATACATCGTGCCCGTCCAAGCCTCTGCGGACGATGCGGAACCTCTTACATGGGAGATCAAGGTACTCTCGCGAAACTCTCTGTTCCTGTTGATTGGTCTAGGTCGACACTCGCCCCTTGCTTTTTCGTATAGGAGACTGCTTAGATCGACACCCACCACCCCGTGAAGGGTCATCGTGTCGAATGAATCGGAATACCGAGAATGGAGTGTGTGTTCAATACCGCGCGCTATCCGGCTGACCAATGAAACTTCGTCAGTCTCAGTGCGGTTGAAAACAGAGTATGTGTATGTGTGTTTGATTTTTTGGGGCAGCTACCATAGTTTGGTGCTGTTGTTGTATCGACGATAGCGATGATGCGTTCACATGGGAAGCGTTTTGGAGGCTCCGGGCGTGCCTTGTCGCGAGCAGGTGCTCGAGAGCACGACGAGCACAGGCGTGGAATGATCTCTCTCCAAAGATGGCAGAGCACGGGCTTGTTGTGGGGGCAGTTAGCTTGTGACCACGGAAGGCGTCCGCGTCAGTTGAACCGGTACATTCCCACATTAGAAACTACTGAGCGGAAACCGGAACGATATTAATGTGAAGACAACAACAACAACAACAACAACGGGCTCCGGCCTGCGACAGTCGGTGCGTTGGTTTCTCCCGCACGGACGGTTTAGTTTAGTATTGGTTCGTTGCTACTTGTTCGTAGTGCGTGTGGGGGGAGGGCAATGGCAGGGGACGATACCCGCACACCGACAACGTTACGATATCACCACCTCAACCACCACGCACACGACGAAATTTTGATGTTTGTTGTCTGCTGTACACGGGCATGTTCGTGTCCCGCTGCTGCTTCAGGTGGACCAGCAGCAGCAGCAGCAGCAGCAGCATCGGCCTGACTCGATGGAGGCCGCCAAGAACTTTTCCACCAAGATCTCCGACGGCCGCGTGTTCTCCCGAGGGTTGTTGACCAAGGTAAGGGAGACAAAACGAACGGCGAAGACTTCGCTTTTTCTCTCGTGTGTGTGCATGCAGCTTTTCGACGACGACGGGGGGGGGGTTGGCCAAGGGAAGGAAGGCACAACGAACCAACGACGTGAACGAACGGCATATTACTCGTTGTTTTCTCTCGTGTGTGGGAAGCTTTGTCGGGGGGGTGTTGACCAAGGTAAGGACGGTACAACGGGCGACAAAGACGAAGACATAGTTTATCGAGGGGGGGGGGGAAGTGCACCGCGAGGTTCCCGCGGCTCGTGTCGCAGTAGATGCATACATGAATGCATGCATATACCCACCCCGTTGATTTGTTCCAATTTTTTGCGGGGACGTTCACGGTGCGGTGCGGTGGCCGGTTTGGCCGCACCACGCCGGTTTGGCCGCACCACGCCGGTTTAACCGCACCGCTCCTCACCCGTCATTTCGAAGTACGAAAAAAACGGGACCGAACCGCACAGTTCAATATCCAGAAAACAAAAACCGCACCGCACGGCACGGCAGGGTAACCACGTCAAGAAAAACCCAAAAACCTCACCGCGGTGCGGTTCCAGACGGTGAATGAATATACATCCCTGAAGTTTTTTTTGGCGGGACTAATTCCGCGTGTCACTCGTTGCTCTTTTGGCAATGAACAGGGCTTCGAGAAGCTGTACGCCCACGTCACCGTCACCACGGCCTTCCTCGCCCTTGGCTATGCCAGGTGGGTTTTCGTAAACAGCGGCATGTGTGTACCGGGGGTCTGTATTTCGGCCGTGAAGTCTTGAGCGGGAACAAGTGTGTGCGTGTGCCTGGCTGTCGGTGGTGTATGCGTGTTCCTTGAGGTGTTGGGAGATCTCGGGCCTAGAAAGTAGACTGTTCACGAGTTGGCTTCTTGTTATATGCTACATCCCTCTGGACCAAGATATAAGCTCGTTTGGAGGAAAAAAGGCAACATCGCACGCCAAGACATGGGAGTTTTTCTGAACGTTTGTTTTTTTTTGTTTTCGCGACGACCTGGAGCAGTCTAAAACCGAGGTTTTCACTACCCTCCTAGTACAGCATCACCTACGCTTACAGAGATCAGAGGGTGGCTGCCCCGAAAGACGGGAATCGTCAGATTGAAACCTTCCAACCAACATTTTTTGAAGCTTTTTTGTTTGTGGTTCTCGCGGCGTTTTGGAGAAGCGTGCAAGTCCGAGGTTATTGCCCAACGGACCAATACGGCACGACCTGCAACCAACCACCGCAATCAGCCACCCACAGCAAGCACAGGAAGTGGTGCGCAGGCGGTGCTGTGTCCAGGGCTCAGAAAAGACCTCGGTATATGGCTCGGCGCCAGAACCTCCCGAGAACAACAAAAATATTCGATGGGAAAGATTCGAAGTTGCCAAGAAGATGCCGACGTGCTACACCACTCCTTCCTCTGTACCGGGTTATCCTCCGTAACACACGAAGATTTACAATTGGGGACGATATCACAGCATACCTGGGTCCAATGTAGTCTGTTTGTCACGACCATGGTGCCAAACATGCATAGAAAGCACTGCGGCAGTCTAGTGGTCTCGAATCAACACTAAAGCGAGCCTTCTGGGAACGGGCTTATATTGTGTTTTCTTCCAAGCGAGCTTTCTACTCTGGCCCAGAGGAACAAGACGTGCCTTGTACCATGACGGTGTTGATCCAAAACACCAAGGGTTTTCGTGAATGCAAGCAGCCCAAGCCCTCTCGCTGGTGTTGAGGCGTGAAGACCCGTTGCTTATGCCCCGCTTCGCTGATTATCTCCCCCCCATAAAGGGGCAGGCGGAGGATGTAGTGACCGGGACCATTGCGACCGACAATGTGTCGATCAACAGCTGATGACCGTTTCTTCCTGCAGCACTCTGGCGACGCCTTCTGTCATACCTATCTCCGTCCGCTCGTAAGAGGTCTCAAACATCAAACAATGTGTCAAATCAAGTGCTACGCTGTTCCTTGCTGCACTCTGGCGCCGCCTTTTTGCCGTCTCCGTCCATGGGTCCGTACTGAAACCGTCCAAAATATCGACGCATAATTAATCTGCTGTCATCGTTCCTTGCTGCACTCGCTCGCCGCCTTATGTCATCTCTGTCGCCACGGCAGCAGCCTTCGAATCGGTGGCAAAGCACCCGCGCTGCTGGCGACGCTGGTGATGAAGGCGGGGGCGCTCTCTGTTGTTTCTGCCGCGACGACCAGCTGCTTGTCGGCAGGGGCGACGACCGCCGACACCGGCTCAAGTAAGGATCTCGACGCGCGTTCCTGGTGCATTGTACGTTGGGGGGGGCGATGTCGAGGACGCGTACAGTAGTGCCGCAGGGTTGAGTGGTGTCGGTTGCCCTGTAAGATGCCGGTGAAATCGTCTGGCACGCATGGAATATGCAAGTTGTCTCCTACTCTTGAATACTGCCGGTTGCCCTCTATATTGCTGGTGAAATCGGCTGGCACAGATAAATGGAATGTTGGAAGTTGTTTGCTTCTCTTCAGTGATGCCGGTTGGCCGCAATAACGTCGGTTCAAGAGGTGCCCACAATTAAAACCCATGTATACAGTCGCCATTGGGGAATACTACATCGGCAACAATATAGGCAACGAGGCTCGGCCATATACGAGGTGTTCTCTCACGTGGTGGACCGTTCTGTGTGCTCACGTACGTACGCGATGTCGCCACAGGTGGAACTACTTCCGTTCTTCATGGAGACGTGACCGACAATGCGACATGGACGTTGTTCAGCTGGATGGCGAACATCGGAGCGGCGACAGCGGTAAGTGTGCACGGTTCCCGCCCGTGTTCAATGTCACTGGAAACAACTTCTGTTTGGGGTTCCATTTTCCGTAGATGACCCGACTTGAGTAAGGTCGTCACACACACACCCTGGTGGGAGTTTCTGAAAAGCTCGATTTCCCCACGGCAGAGGTGGTGCTGAATAGGGGGCGCTGGAGCCGTCTCGTCGAGAGTTTCCCGAAAACGTACTTATCATGCTTCTTTTTTTTTTTTGCATCACGTTTTTCGTCGATCGAACAAGATAGGTATAGGTAGCGTCTTGTGTCACCTGTTGCATGTACTTGAAACCGACCGTGCTCCCCCCATTAAGAAAATGGGCCGCTCGTTACACAGATGGCATTCTCGTCAGGTCGTAACCGCCGCCGCCATGCTCGTTCCCGCCTCCGCCGTGTGCTTCTGAATGCCTGGCGTGTCGTATGCAAAGTTGGCCCGGAGCATGTGGGTATTCGCTCTCTGGGTATTAGTCACCCTCGCCTTCTGGGCTAGGAGGAGGAGCAGGAGCAGGAATAATGGGGCATCGGTCTCGCCCAACGCTCCCCCCACAGCCGCCGGCACACCCGCCGCCGCCGCCGCCACCGCCGCACCTGCCATGCCCCCCACAGGCACGCCCCCGGCAGCCGCCGCCGCCCCGCCCGCCGCCATGCCCTCCGCAGCCGCAGGCACGCTCCCCGCAGCCTCCGCCATGCCCGTCGCGGCCGCAGCCATGCCCGCCCCCGCCCCCGGTGCCCCTCCTGCCGCCGCCGTGCCCGCCCCCACCGCCCCGCCTGCCGCGGCCATGCCCGCCCCGCCCGCCGCAGCCCCCGCCGCAGCGGCATCTACGGCATCTAACCCAGTAGACAGCCACGTCGGAACCCCAGGGTCGCCTGCGCCCGCGAGTACCGGGGAAGCACAGCCCATGGCTAACCCCCCCGCTGCGCCCGAACCTGAACCGCGGGTAGGGCGCGGCGGCCTCCGCAGGGCCATGCAACGCCTGGGCCGCGGGATAACCTTGGCCAGCATGGTGGCCAAAGCTAAAGAAGCCGCTTCTGGCGTCGACGTGGACGAATTGGTTTCTAATGTTGGCGAGTTTTTGCAAGGCGTGGCCGATGAGATGGGGGACGTGTAGCCGTGGCGGGGTAGCAAGTCCGGTCGTCCGTTGCAGTCACACCTACGGTAACCTCCCTCCCTCCGTGCTGCAGTTGCGTGTGATGTGTGGGGTCGATAGGAGGAGGAGGAGGAGGAGGAGGAGGAGGAGGAGGAGGAGGCGTAGACCCGCCCGGGCAGCACAAGGTGACACCGCCGGTGGTGCTGTGGCGTCATTTTTTTGTGTGCTTACCGTGTCGAATATCCATGCATGGTGTGCATTGCACGGGGTGGGTCGGTGGGTGACGATGTAGGCTGGCCAGGGCAGGTATGCACACCACCGGTGTCGTGCCGTGGTGGTTGATATTTTTTTTGTATCGTGCGCGCGTGTGTGGGTGGGTGACAGGACGCACGTCATCATCGCGTGCTTTCTGCTCGGCCACTTGGTGTTGCCGATGTTTCCTTCTTGTTATTTAGTGTGCTGCATGCTGCTCGAGCGGTTGTGGGAACATCGATTTTTCTTCGTGGACGCGCTCTAAAGTGAAACGTTGTCGCAAGCCTTTCCCTCCCTCAAGGCTGGCAACCGTGTCTGACTGTGGTCGTTTCGCCGTTTTTAGCACTCCGCTCGTGAAGCAGCAACGGTCCTAGCGGGCCAAGAGGTCGATTGAGTGCGTGCGGCGTGTGGGTGCAGCATCCGCCCGATAGCACTAGTCCTAGTCCGTTCTCGTTGTTTCCTTTGTCAGGGTTTGATTCTGGGGCTTTTTGACTGCCAGAAGTCGCCAATGGCGAGGATTGAATCGTGCAGGCGGCCGCCAGCGTAGCAGGGTAGCTATGATAGCAGTGTCGGTAGAAATACGTTGCGACTTATGTCAGGGAGGAGGTGGAAAGGGGGTCCGGGCCACGTAAGTTAAACTCGAGCTCCTATCGAGGTTGTTCGAGAACAATGTGTGCTGGGGTTGGTCTTGTTACGACAGCCGTGACTCTGAAAAAAGTAACCACGCGAGCAGGAGAGAGTATTTTAATTTTGCAGGCGTAGGGTAGGAGGAGGCAGGAGAGCGGAGCTCAGCAGCATGTGGGCGTCCATGGCTCCGTGATTGCGGAAGCCGCGTCGTAGGTCGGTAACAGGTAACTTGTAGGTGAAAGTTCTCGGGGCGGCAGAGCTCGGCTTACCATGGGCGATGACGCCCCGCGATTGCGCAAGTAGCGTGGGCCAGTAGGCCGGTTCGCACGTATGTTGGATTATCTCGTAGTTTGTGTCTGGGTTGTGAAGCTTGTCCCACTGACCCACACAGGTTCTGTGGGGGTTACGGACAAGTCGACCACGTTAGTAGTACACTCGTGGCTTTGGGCAGGGATGATAGTGGAGTACGGACGGCGTGAAGCAGGCTTTAGCGTGATGAGTGTAGCGAGGAACGGTTTCGGCAGCAAGGACCAGATGGGGAACGAGAGTGAGTGATCCGAGCTGTGTTTTTTGGAGAGAACAGGTCACAATAGTTCAACGAAGGGCGTGTGTGTCTTGTGCTTTGATCGAAGCAACACAGTTCACTAGCACAACCCAGACTTGAAATCAAAAAGAACGAGATCGCATCATCGGGCCCCGGGGGAAGTTTGCGGACACATCGCGAATGACTTGGTGTCAAGTGTAAAGCATTCCAAGATCAATGTTGCTCTTTATGTTCGTGTTGTGATAACTCCTTTGCCGGGCGATCACTGCAGTACTGCTGTAGGGTAAGCCTCAGTTTTTCGCCTGCATCGGTTTCAATCAAGATGAACGGTGCAATTGTCCCAGAAAACGTCCACGAACGTGACTGGACTATGATTGTCCCAGAAAACTTGACTAAATTGTCTCCAACAAACGTGACTCGACAATTTGTCCTGGACGGACCGTAGGAGAAAGGATCTACAGAGTCGTATGGATACCGTAGGCGACACGATGTACTGCACCACACACCACTCCTGCACCAGTTTTCTAGAGTTCGATTTCTCCAAACACAAGGGTGTGCGGCAGCGCCGACGAAGCCCGTCGGCGGCGTTGAAGCTGGCTCGCCGAGAGCTTTCCTTTCGAAATCGTACATCGTTGTCAATTTTGAGGAACAGACTACAGTACCTCTTCGCTAGACCAATCCATCTCCGAGGAAACCAAGTAAACACTCCCTTGCAATTTACCTACTACAATCTCCGCGTCACCGCAACACCCCTGCCCCACTCTACCAACAAGCATATGAAATACATTTACAAAAGTGACAAGTGCGGAGATTATTATTCTGGAGAGTAAAGTGAGGATGATAGATCGCCCGCGGCCCCCCCCCGTTCCTCCAGCTGCCCCCTTTATTTCCCCATCCTCACGCTACTCTGTCTGGATGAGCGTACAGCCTTATGGTGTTCATCATGGTTGAGGTGGTCATGTGGAAGGAATACATCTCGAGAGAGCAAAAGGTAGATGGGCAGCCCTGCGCCCGATTGTGTCGCAGGGAAAATGTCTGGAATTTTTGGGGAAAGCATGCATGCGTATTCAGCACCGCGAGAATGTTCCCCGTTTCGCGCGCCGTTCTGCGAAACGCCATAGGTGAGAGGTCGAGATCGCCGACCGCGAACAAAGTCGTCACCACAGCACAGCAGTCCCACGCTGGATCGCGCCGGAGAGAAGAGCAACAGGTGAGAGGCGTCTCCGCGCGCCAACACGCGCGCGTAGGGACAACACAACGAAAGGATACAATGATGCATGGACTGACATGTGAATGATCGATCCGTTGTTGATATTGTTGCGGGGGTCTCTTGCCGACAGCAGTTGGCTCGTTGAATATGGACTGCCTGGTGCCGAGGCCTAGACTATACGGCGGTTGTATGCCCATGCTGTCTTGAGCCGCTGCTGTGCGACTGACTGTAGAAGGAGACGGGCGTATGTATTGCTTATCCGCCCTTGTAGTAGTGAGTCTCACAGCAGTCCGCAGGGATGCTGCATCGAATTTTCTGTAGACGGCGGTGGAGGTACATCCAACAGCACCTCATCACCATGGAACAGCAGCGAGACCCACCCTCACCGAGGGTCGGGTAGAACATGGAGGCATAGCATGCGCTGCCGACACTAATAAAGCCCATCACGAGAACGGTAAGAGAGAATAATTTCACGTTCCACGGACGTCTCGTCCCGGACAAAACACGGTGCAGTTTGTTGCAAGCGGTGAACGGCATGGGCTGTCCTTTCCTGTGTTAACCGTTTTACACGTTTACACCACACCTGATCATTTTGGCGCGGGAATGCTGTTGCATCAAGTTGGACACCCCCACACCTCAGGCACTTGAAGCAGCATCCCATCCTCAGGGAGAATCTTCTCCACTCCGCACACAATAGTCTAATCGGTGAGCGTTAGTGTTGTGCGTGCGTACATACATGGTGATGCAGCGACGTGACCGCTGTGGCGAGGTGAAGAAGGAGAGCTTCTCGAGAGAGAGTCGCAATCACGGATGGATGTTGCTGCCGACCAAAACAATCATCGGCAAAGGATGTAGCTATGCGTCTGACATTCTCCAGCAACTACCGGCATCGAATTCGCGCAGACTATAGCAGCGCACAGCGTCGCGCGGGGCCTTATTTGCTATGGCTGACTGCATACTCTCTGTGTCGATCTGCTGCGTAGACTTATTCTGTGCTGTCACACATTTTTCGAGCCACGCAGTCGCCGGTTGATTTTAGTTTCAGTTCGGTTTTGGGAATCGAATTATTACGGTGGTGGGAGGTGGGAGCCACACATGCGTTGGGCAAGTCTACTGGACGTATGTTACCATCGTGTGGGCTCTGGTGATGATCTGTGATCATTCCCTGCGCTGCCTGTGGATGGCCTCAGCGTTACTGAGGCTATGGGCCGTTCAACATTATTGTTATTTGGCCTGCAGTTACGTAGTTGCGATGATTGGCAACCACATCAACGAACGTAGGTACATTTCCATGGTTGTTCGGATGGCAATGGCATTCTTGCTTGGCGGGCACCTCTCAGCCACAGAAACAACATGTGTTGCGACGCCGAGGACGAAGCGGGCGCAAGTAAGCGTGTCTGGAGCACCCCGCGGGTCTGGCTTGTTGTCTCGCATTACATTTTGTTCTCGTTTTTCTGTAACGAATCAACGCGGGAACCGCCGCGTGTCTCTGAGAGCGCAACTATTTTAGTCTACTCACCTAGCCTTTTTTGTTTTGTACTTCTGTGGCGCGTCGAGTAGCTCAGAACGGTTGGTTCGGTGCTCCTCAAGCTGCCGTGCCCCTGGAAGACCGCGCGTCATTTTTCTCTAGCGCTACTCCTGTGGCTACATCGCACCGGCAGCTGAGTTAGCAGAGAGCACTCGTCCCCGATTTATATTTTTTTCTCCGGAACGCTTCCGTCCCTCCGCAGATAAATTCGCAAAATGTGAGAAAGGAAAATAAATATTGTAGATCGAACATCGAAGTACTTGTACTCTAGACGGAAACCGCGAGGGTAGTGAATTGGAACAGTACGACGAGGCACAAATATATGTCCCACGTCGTCGGTGTGTTATGTGGGTTTATAACATGAACTCGATACTGGCTACTGAGATCTAGGTTTCGTGTATCGTTGGCGGTGTGTACGTGATGGTGGTGGTCCCCCTTCTCCTGTGCATTGGTCAATGTAGCTTGCCCTGCGCACTCGTTAATACACCAAGGTCCTGAGTCAACCTTTCTTCTCTGCGCTCCTGACAACGAGCTGCCCGCCTTCAAACACAACTCAATACCTACCTACCTCATATAAAATGACCGCATGCAACTAAACAGCAGTAATAATGAAGACATTAAAAAAAATCTGGGGCGCGAGGCCGATCGATCTGTCGTCGGCAGCGTCGCCGCCGGTTTCCGGCCGCCTCTCGTGCCGTATTTTGCCGGTACGGTACATCCACTGCACGGTGCGGTGCCCGACGGGGGCGGGAGTGGTAACCGCCGAAAAGAAAAGAAGAACTACTTGGAAACGTCCCTTTTCGGTAGGGTGCCGTCTCCACTCAATCCATGAGGGCAACGACTACAGACGACAGTAACAGCAGTGGTGGTGGATTATTTTTTTGTTTTGTTTCGGGGAAGCGGCTGGAGAGACGGCACCGACCGGGGGCCCACGTTCTCGTGGCCCTCGACGATTGCTTGTTGTTTCATCAGCTTCAAAACAAAAAATCAAAATCTTCACCACGTCGAAGCGGCGCGGTTGGTTGCACACGATTTGAGTCCGCCCTTGGATAGGTCATCGAGATCAGCTCGCGTGAGACAACCCCCCGAGACCACGCGTTCAATTCTCATTGGCCGGGTTTTCTGTCAGATACTCGACCCCCCGCCCTCTCGCTGCCCTCGCTGGCCTTTCTGCCGTCAGCAAACAGTTGAAACGCATTAATTCATTCGTTCTTTCGCGTGTGACCCGACCAACGACCTAACAACAGAACACGTGCTGCCCTCTCCCGCCAGGTCGACCGATCAGGCACAAGCGGGGGTCGTTGAGTCTCAGGGGAAGATGGGTGTGGCGGTTGTTGTTCGTCCTGAAGTGTCCATGGTTTGCGACGCGGGGTCGGTTTCCCGTCCCACCGGAACGAGCAGAGACGGGTCCTCGTGGGGCGGAAAAATACCGCCACCGAAGGACGGGGTCCGGGAGATAGCCTTACGCCCAACCACGGCGGCTGGGTCAAGGTAAGGAGGAGGTCGACAAGGAGGTCATACTGCTGCTCTCTGAAGCCACTTTTTTTTTGTCGAAAGGGCCTTTATATTGCGCAAGCTTCGACTTTTTGTTTGAGAGCTATCCACACCGTACTTTTGAATATATTTTATCCCTGCGATTGACCTGAACAGCCAAAGGGTGTTTTTGTTACTGTGACCAATACCGGCTTGGACATCACGACGAGACGGTTCTACTTGTAGCTACGATCTCCGATACGCTGCCGTAACAAATTGTTCCGTCCCTACGCTTGCTTGCTTGTTTCGTGTCTTGCCACCAGCGGTTCTCGTGTCGTTGGTCTGCTGATCTTGGCTTTGGCCTCAGCCATCAAGCTGGGCAACGTGGAAAGCAGCAGTGAGTCTTCTAGCAGCCTCAAGTGTCTTCCTACTTTGTACCACCAGCACAGCACAAGGAAATATCTTGTTTTTTCTTGCATTATTCACGTTGCGCCCTCATTAACCCCGTAGCCGGCCCTGATTATTCCCTGTGTGCGTTTCTCTACTGACTGTCCTTGACCTCTGTCGGTCACGAGCGACTGAGTTAAAACGATTCCTCGTTCACCCGTGACTTTTCTTTTGGTCGGTGCCGTGCAGTGCTGGTTGAGCTTCCGTCGGGCTTCAGGTGCATTTGGAACAACCTGCCGCACCTTGTCCAAATCGCGGCCATATTGCTGGTGAGCGCGGCGATTGGATTGAGTGCTTGCAAAAGTTAACAACCAAACAGCGGGACAGGCATCATCATTTTTTTTTTGTTCTGTCCGAGTATCACGGTTTCACTGCTGGTGCGTGTTGTGTGTATCATCCACCACGTCTTTGCTGCTGCACGCTTGCATGCATATTGGTGCCCCGCCGGTAACAAATAGGCATTGCTGTAGGGAAGGCAATATTCAAGGCTATTTGGAAGGAAGGTGGTGGTTTTTGTCGAGTTGTCGACGGCCGAACCACAGTTAGTTGCCTTCACGGCTTCTTTTGCCGACCGCCATTTAGCAGAAAAGCACTGAACTAGATATAATCTGTTTCTCCGCTTCTGTTTTCCCACCTCGTCCAGAGATCGCGACCTCGTTTTCGTACCCAAGATATACCAGATATAAACTGAAAAGCACCAAGTTTTCTTTTTGTTTGCTTTCACCGCGTACATGTAGTCCAGAGACGGTGGCGAAGGCGAACCCGTGTGGTTGGGTGTGGGTGTGGGCTAGGGGCAGCGTGTTTTCCCTCGACTGACCCCGAGCCGATTTGTCTTGAGATCCTCACCACGCCCCTCTGCTTGCGCCATTGCCAAACCTTCTTCGCCTTCTTCCCGCACCATCACGCAGATGGTGGTGCTGATGTACGGGGTTAGCAGGGTCTTCGACAGGGCGGACGACGCCATGTCCGCTCGACTGTCCTCCGCCACAGCAGCGTTTCTGCACGAGAGAAGGCAGCATTACCCTCCCCGAGTTGTCTACACGGCCACGAGGGAGAAAAAATCCGCGGCGTCCACAGCGGTACGCGATGCAGCGTTCCAGCATAAGAGAGGGCACCACGCTCAGCGTTTTGGTACGAGCGAAGGCACCACCACCCTCCCTCCCCGTGTTTTCTAGACCACCACGAGAATCAGAGCTGCGTCGTCTACGGCAGCAGGAGTACGCGTGGAATAATACAGGAAGAGGCCCCACGTGTGTTTGCCCTCGGGCCAGCCACCACCGCCTGATTGCCCTTTTCCAGAGAGAGGGAAGTTTTTTAAGTTTCAGGTTTGGAATGTGGGAGTCCCCCGGTAGTTTAATTTGCTGAGCTGCCTTGTGGCCATGATCACCCGTTAGAGGTGAGCGCCGTTTCTTGTGGTCTTGGTGCATAAAAATAAAAATAAAAACAAGTATTCGAATATGTTGTTGGTGCCTGTCCACGGAAAGCGAATGGATGGCATTGTGTGTGGGCAAATTTTTCTCGCCACACCGCTTGTAGAAGCATCGAGATGCAACAAGGGCCTTGGCACGGGGCGGGGCGGGGCGTCAGGATACATGACGTTCGGGCGTGCACTCGGTAATAAGTGTCGGTTTTGGGTGTTCGTCGTAAGAGGTGAATTGCTGCCGCGTTTTGTGTGCCTAAAACTGATTCCTTGGAGTTGAATTCGTCGAGAGCGGAACGTCCGTATACTATTTGGGAGAGAGAGCATCTCATGCACTCGATTCGTATTGTTGATTTGATGGGGGTCCATCGTACGACGTGAACAGTTTTTTTGTTTTGTGCTTGAAGCTGGTTCCTCGGAGTTAAACTCGCCGAGAGAGGAACGTCCATAGACTACGTAAGAGAGAGAGTGTATCATGCACTCGATTCGTGTTGTTGACTTGATGGGGGTCCATCGTAAGGTGAACAACTTTGTGCGTGAAGCTGGTTCCTCGGAGTTTAATTCGTCGAGAGAGGAACGTCCGTGTACAGGAGAACGAGAGCATCCCTTGCACTCGATTCGTGTGTTGATGAGTGTCCATCGTCGGAGGTGAATCCTCTCTTTATTCTTATTTTTTCTTGAGGGTGGTCCTCGATTCGTCGAGGCGGCAACGTCTTAGTGTGGGAGCATCTCGTGCACTAGATTTGTGTCGATTGTTGACGGGTGTTCTCCTCTTGAGGGGGAATCACTGTTAGTTTTTGCGGGTGAAGTGAGTCCCCGGAGTTGATTTTGTCGAGAGTGGAACGTCGACACATTGGAGTTTATAGTAGATATTATGCCGACTATTATCTACTGGCTGTTGATGGATACCAGCTAAGTGTTGTTGCTGGGAACATCATGAGACTGGTGCAGGCGAGGAAAAGGGATGCGGCACAATGGTTGCATTCGTTAGTAGGTGCGCTTGCGAATGGGTGAAGAGCCGATGTTTGAAGCATTTTGCAAAGAGTCCGAAACCAACTTTCTTTGAGCGGCTGAAGTTGAAGGAGTCAGGCCAGTCCCAAGAACTGGTTCAGTGAGTAATGCTGTGAATTCCCGTGCGCATGACCAAAAGACAAAAATACTCTGATGTCACTGCTGTGGCATGAACTGCGCTGGTACTGTACCTTCTGATAACGTAGCAGGAATGTTTTCGAGGTTGAGGCGCTTGTTTTGTGCGGCAAAGAAACAACAGGCCGGGTGAGACAACTAACATACCGGGGTCGTTCGTTCTTGCAAGCTTTCATCGGGTACAGTTGTAGGGATGGAAGTTTCGTGTTCTTGTCCATCACGTAATATTGTATGTATATATTATTGTATGATTATTTTACGTCCCCCTGGGCCTACTCGTCTTGGAGTGTGTGGAGGGGTGGGCGTCAAAGATTGTTGCCCGGAGCCAACCTCAAAATTGACCGTCTCGATTGTGGGGGGCGTTGCATGTTTCCAGCACTTGGCGGCAAGGATACCGGTGATGGAAGAGTCACTTGAAATACATTCTGCTACTGCTGTAGCTGCCGGTGACACGCTCCCGTTGGTATGGGTGTGTTCCATGTGGGAGCTCATCTACTGTATTTCACCGGGGAGGAATCAGTGCAGTTGTTGCGAGAGACCAACTACTAGGTTTATTGAATTCGAGAGGTTCGCATATAGAGTTTGCATGTATCCTGAAAAAAATGCTAACGACCAAGACTGGCTGTATCAGAAATCAATCCATTGAAACCCGAACACGGAAAAAATAATGTGGAGGGCGCTCTCGTTGACATCATCACGAGCGTATCAAAGCGGTGCGACCGCAATAGAAAATTAATCTTGGACTGCGTTCGTTCGTAACTATTCGAACGGGGGTTGTCGTTCACGGCGGGCTGCGGCGGCGGTCACTCGCTCCATTTCGTTCCAAGGTGCGTGGTGTCGGAACGAACAACAACAGCACTTTGGCCATCTCACAAAGAACACGTTAAAAAAAATGCAACAAGAGGTTCATAACAACTTCGGAAGCACCCACCCGCACATGGGCTGACTCACACAGATCTACAGCCTTTCGTACCTCACAGAAAGGCATCATGTTGACGCTACTAAGGGAGTCCTTCCCTCGTTCGTTGGTTATTATTCCGTAAGCGGCGGAGAGACGGCACACCCCCTTTAAGACCCCTAGTTCCAAAGCTCGATTGTTCCACAACCAAGGGGGTGCGGAAAGAACCCGATGTAACCGTAGTTGTACGGAAAGCCCTCGAAGAGACATTTATTTCTAAAACCACCACCATTTTGATGCCGGCAAAGCGAAAGGTTGGGTGTGGGTTGCGGGGGTAATCGAGCTGGAAAAATCCGTGAAATAAATGGGGATACAGACTATTCCATTTCTCCTCCGCCTCTTGCATATTTTCACGAACAAGCTGGCCCTTTCATGTGGGCACCGGGCACGGACTACGGTACAACGTCAATGCACGTTGGACTAGGCGTGGGATAGCTGGCGTTAAATAGGAAGTACGCGGTTGTTGTGACTGAATCCATGACGTGTAGTACCCGACGGGACTGTCAGGAGTAAATGATCAGGAATGGTTCGCGCGCGCCGAACCTTCTAGACAAAGAACATGCGCGGGCTACGGGGGGGGGAGAGGGTTACAGTACCGTGTTTCATGCACGGGGCGGGGATAGAAGGTGGGCAGAGTCGTGACATCGCATAAGACGCGAAGAGGGAGAGGGATCGACAAGACGAGTCGTTGAGCTTGTAGCAGGCCACGCTTCCGAAGACAAAGGGACCAACTTTGGGCACAGGTGAGGAGAGCACGACCTGCAATCGCCTGAACGAATATCAACAAGCAGTTATTTTCTCGTTTCGGTCTGGCATGCGGAAGGGGCCCGCCTCCATTTCTGAATCTGTCACCGTCTTCTCGTTTGCGGACAGCGGTCTTCTGCTCCCAACTCGCTTCATCCGCCAACAACATTGGATGCTCATAATCTCACTGTTTCAATGCGTGCGGCCTCTCCGCAGTTAGTTATTTTTTTCGACCCTCTCTTTGGTGGTAAATAGGGGCGAGGGTACCTTGAAGAGTTGCAGTTACACAGTTGTGTGATGGTAGAAAGCTAGCCGGTTTTGTGTACAAGGAGCCAGAGGGTAAGAGGGAGAGAGCAGCAAGAGTTCAACAGACAGCCGTGGGAGTGAATGAGTACGCGGGGTGGCGCGTGAGCGGTGTACGAGTGCTCGCTCGCGGTCCGACCTTGGCTGGCGTGGGAATTTTGCATCGAGCGTCTGTAGCTTCCTCCATCTGTGTTCTCCCCACGTAAATGAAAGAAAAAGTTCGAAAGGTCTGCTGCATGTTTCCTCACCTCACTTCCATACAACCCTCTCCAAAGACAAAAAGGCATGCCCATTCTCTCTTCCCCCCTCGCCGAGGGTGGGCCGAGGCCCGCCAGTGGGCTGAGACCACGCAAAGACTACCACGGAGGCACGAGCTCAAGCCTCGAAGGGAAGGTAGTCCCGAGTTCGGTGGATAGGAGTCACCATGGTCGCAAGATCGGGGTATTTTCCGTCGGACCGAATGTTGGTACAGTAGAGGTCCCTGTTTAGTGCCGGTTGAATAGTGCCGGTTGCCAGTATAGTGCCGGTCAAATCTCGGCGCACAAAACCCGCCCTGAATAGTGTCAGACCGGCACTATTCAGGGCTGCCCGCTATAGTGCCGGTTTGGGCCCCACTGAACCCCACAATAGTGCCGGTTCAAGCACGCAAGCACACACAACACACAAGAGACACACACAACACAGAAGACAGACACAGAGGAGAGGGTACACGTGCTGCTGCAGACCCGAACAGCTCTACGCAGAGGCGCACCATGCCATGTGCGGAAGGTGACCTGTGCCGCATACCGGACAGAACGGCAACAACTTGCCAACGAAATATTGACATCTGTGAGGTGCATCCTACGCGATATTCATGTGAAGGGTTTAAGTCAGGTTGTGCAAGTGTGCAGTACGTGCGCTGAGGTGGGTACAGCAACAAGGTGCAGCATGTGTGTCCCGTCCAGTTAAAGTATTAAGCAAAATATGTGTGTTCGACAGGGCAGGAACCACCCATATCGTGGCAGAGCAGTCTTCCACCTCTTGGCGCTTGGGCGGATTTGAGACGCGAGGGGAACTTTACGCCTTCTTGGTTGCACGCCGGTTGCATCTCGTTGTCATCCGGATCCTCTCCACCTCCCCACGCAGGCCATGTATGCGGCCGTCACAGCACCCTTCACAATCGTGCGCGCCGCTTGGACTTAGTGCCGCATCGAGAAGCTTGCACAATTGTCCATTCACGCGCCGCATGGTGTGTCTTTATTATTAGCATCGACCGCGCTAACCGGTTGACCAATGAACAGACGTCATGGTCAGTCTCGGTACGGTTGAAAACACAAAACACTTCTATATACCTTTAACTGGGA